TACAAACCATGGTTATATACTGATTGTTTTTTTTTTTTATTATACTACTAATGGCGGTGATCAGAGACTTATAATAGGACTGCGAGAGTGCGTCTGGCAATATGACACTAACTGACACTGGGTGGGAACTAACTGCCACTGACATCACCAGTGACATTAATACAGTGATCAGTGATAATACTATACATTGTCACTGTACTAATGACACTGGCTGGGAAGGAGTTAACATCTAAGGTGATCAAGGGGTTAAAGGTGTGCCTAACTATTTGTAATGTGTATAAAGTGTGCTGCTTTTACAAAACCATCTCTTAGCTGCTGATCCCTGCAAAGCTTACTTACACTTACAAACTTACAAATCACTCCCTCTGTACAGAGCTCTGTATTGTTTACCAACACACATTTCTGGGCTGTGATTTTAAATAATAGGCTGGAACTTGCTGATAGGCTCTCACTGTGTACAATCACAGTGGGTGCTGGTTGGGGGGCACACCCAAAACCCATACTCGCTTTGCTATGGCCGCCGCACCATCTGCAGTACATTGTGGGCGAACAGTCGGAAATTGGTTAACCACTTGCCCTCTTGAGGATTTAACTCCCTTCCTGTCCAGGCCTCTTTTTGCTATTCAGCGCTGTGTTACTTTAACAATTGCGCGGTCATGCTGCACCCAAATTAAATTTACGTCCTGTTTTCATACAAATAGAGCTTTCTTTCTGTGGTATTTTATCACCTGTGTCCTTTGTATTTTTTGCACTATACATTAAAGAAGACCAAAAAGTTTGGAAAAAAAAAACTATATTTTTTACTTTCGGCTATAAAAAAATATATCGTAAACTCAAAGTTAGTCATAAATGTGGCCAAAATGTATTCTGCTACATGTCTTTTTTTAAAAATCCCAATGAGTGTATATTGATTGCTTTGTATGAAAGTTTTAGCGTCTACAAACTATGGTATAGGTACTGCAATTTATGTAAATTTTTGCTATACAGCACTGGGCTAGTTTAACTGACAATTGTGCAGTCATTCAAGGCTGTACATAAATTAAATTTATGTATTTTCTTTCACACAAATAGAGCTTTCTTTTGTTTTTGTTTTTTTGCGTTATAAACAAAAAAAGACCACACATTTTAAAGAAAAAACTATATTTTCTCATATCTGTCATAAAAAATATCCAAAAAACTCAAATTTCGTCATAAATTTAGGCCAAAATGTATTTTGCTACATGTCACTTAGTGCTCACGCAGCGATTTTCAAACGCAAATTTTTTTAAAAAATACACTTTTTTACTTTTAATGCACAAAAACACAATATATTGGCCAATTATTTGGTAAAATATAAAAGATGATGCTATGCCAAGTAAATGCTTTAAACTGTGCATGCCCCATGCAATGGCGACAAACTGCATACATTTTTAGTATCCATAGGCAAGGCTTTAAAAGCCTTTGCAAGCTACAATTTTAGATATACAGAGGAGGTCTAGTGCTAGAATTACTGCCCTTGATCTGGCGTTCTCTGCGACACCTCACATGCATGGTGCAACTGCTGTTTACATACTGGCAGGGGGTCAACGCTCGCACACACAGATGCGCACGGGTGGCGAGGGTGCTTTTTTTAAATTTTTTTAGTTATTTTGATTGTTTAAATTATTTTTATACTGTCCCTTACATTTTTTGTAATCACTTTTAATGCTATCACAGGGAATGCAACTATCCCATATAACTTCAATGGGCATTGTCATATATTCTTTTTTGAGAAATCTGGGGTCTATCAGACTCTAAATATCTCCTCTGCCCTTACATTATCTAATCTCACCAAGATCGGTGTGATCAGATGCTTTCCCAATTTACAAATGGAGCTGTTTATATGCTGCACAACTGAAGTGATGACATGCTCGTAGCTTCCTATTTCTTAGACTATAGAGATGATTGGCGCCATTACGGTCTCCAGTCAGCTCTATGGTCATCTGGCTGAAACACCGGCTGCATTCTCAGGTTCCCAAATGACACAGGACTGCCCGAGAAGGCCGTGGAAGGCAGAGGGGGAGGGGGGCATCTTCTCCCACTGCTTGTAAAAGCAATCCTGCAGCTAATTAGCCACTAGGATTGCTTTTACATGAAAGCCCATCACCGGCTGAAAAAAAAACGATACCAGGATGATGCCTGCAGCTGAAGGCATCATCCTGGTATAACCACTGAAAGTCCAGTGATGTACCAGTACGTCGCTGGTCCTTGTTGGGTGTATATGCTATGTTCTTTTTTTGTATGCAGCCTGTGGGCTGAATGAAAAAAAGAGAAGAAATCTCTGCCAGAAAAAAGTGTGTGGTATTCCCACCATTAGAATATACCGCCCTGCATCCACCCACTTCTAATGGTGGGCACACATGAAATGTGCCAACAAATATTATAAAATATGTATGCAGAAGCATAGGGGCCATCCACCCACTGGCCTCCCCGGGTCCCCATGCTTCAGCATATATGCTCTTTTTTTAACTGCAGATGAAAAATCTCATCCAATAGCGCTACACACACCTACTTATGTATATTCCGAGAGCAAGACCCTGTTGCTGTCAGAATAAACAGTTTGGTGCTACAGCTGAATGGTGTTCCTGTAAAGCAAACGGTTAACAATAAAACAAAGTGATAATAGAACTCAACTCAGTAAAAACTTTTTTTTTCAATTTTTGAACTTTTAACTTTAATTTATTTTTTTTAAACTTTTGTAACAGCCTTTGAGTTTCGGGTTTCTCAAAATGTAATGGACAGTTTCCTGACTATCTAACATCTTTTGAGACCCTTTGTGAAAATGGTGAATATGTACCCCGAACTGTGCCATGCTGTACCCTATACTAATACTCCACTAGTGTATGTTAGCGACGGAAGCAGTCCTTGAGGCAGAGACCAGGTTGGCGAGGACAAAAAAAGCGGGTGTTGAGTCTTATTCCATGTTTGCTACAGACACAACATCGTCTTTGGGGTGACCTTTGGGTTGGGGTACCAGGGAGGACATCTGGAAAATGCCTCCCATGCAGCCGGCTAACTGCATCTGGATTTGAGGATTGGGCCACAGCACCTTCTGGATATAAAAGGGCTGCGATGATCTCTTCTTGGAATTTTAGGAAGGATCCACTTTGTCCAGTTGCATTGTAAATTACAAAAGCGTTATATATAGCCAATTGAAATAAATAGATACCTTTTTGTACCAGTGTTGGGCTTTCTAGGAAACTAGGTACGGATTTATCATTTGGTCATTGAAGTTCACCCCTCCCATGTTAAGGTTATAGTCATAGACATAGAGGGGTTTCTCAATAACACCAGATACTGTGTTAATTTGCACTGTCGCGTCTGCGTGAATGGAAGACAGGACGAAAAAATCCCGTTTGTCCTTCCACTTCACTGCAGGCAATTCATCATTCATCATTCCTCAAGCAGGCTTTCTCCCCCTATCTAAGTCGGGTATTTGCAAGCCATTGGGGAAGCCCCAGCGGTTAGGTTTCATGGTGAAACATGAGTCAATTCCAAGATTGTACAAATGTCTAAATAATGGCACACAAATTGTCCACGTATAAGTGGTACCCCTTTGTCAGGAATGGACTTGCCAGTAATGGTGGGACTCACCTGCCTTGTGGGCTGCAGTACCAGGGCTGGCCAGCGGGTGCTCCCAGCAATCAGAGACTCAACCCTGCAGCCAGCCAAACACCTGAAACGGCTTATGCAGGTGTATTTAAGTGATGGCCAGACCTGCAGTCTTTGCCTTGGTGTGTGTGTTTTTCCTGGGCCCTGTATCTTGTAAACCTGCGTTCCTGTTCCTGTCCCTGTCCCTGTCCCTGTCTTGTTGCTGACCCTGCTTGATCCTGACCTCTGCTGACTTCTCCTGTTCTGATCCCTGGCTTGTGACCCTGATCATTCTCTCCGCCTGCTCCTCCTGTACCTACCTGCCCGATAGTTATCGACCCGGCCTGCTTGATCACGTTGTGCTCTATATGTGTATGTACCTGTGTATCTGTATCAGTTTAGGTTTGGGTTTGTTTCACTTTGTATGTATTTGTGTTAGCTTGGGGTTTGGTGCATTACGTTTATGTTTGTATTGTTAGTCTTTAATAAATTATATTGTTTATAACATATCTGAAGTCTGCGTTCCCTGCGTCAGTCACATACCTCTGGTCATACCCTGGAGCCCTGACATTACACCAAGGCCAATCCTGACCAGAAGTGGCTGCACAGGGAAGCCATCTTGGCTTGTTGCTGGGAAAGATGGATCTTGATGAGGTTGTGTATTTGTCGCTGCTGGTTTTTGATGACAGAGAATATGCTTATCAGGCTCTGAGGGAGTATACCCGGGATCAACTGCTAGAATGTATACGGATCGCTCATGTTCTAGTAGATCAGGGCACAGAGTTCTCTGAGGTGCAACCTTTGATTCAGATTTGTGTAGAGTTGTCTTCATCTGGTGCCCCTGAAAGCAGGAATGACTTTTTGCCGCCATTTAGTGCAGACCAGGTAGAGTCCCTGGTATGGTTATTAGAGGATGATGTGGATTGCTTCTTGGAGCATTATGCTGCATGTTCACAACAGGTACTAAGAGATTGTATAAATGCAGTGCAGTCTTTGGTCAGACAGGCTTTGTGTAAGCTGAGCTTTGTTCAACCCATACTGCAGACATGGACAGATTTGTTGCACCCAGCCTCAGTCAGCTTACAAAAACCTAGTCCTGCTTCTAATCTATTTCCTCAAAGCTCTATTCCTGCATTCCCAACAGCACCTCCAGTTACAGCCCAGTATACCCTGCTATCTACCACATGTCAGTACCCTGTTCCCACTCGCTGCACCTATCCTGCCTTTAACCCTGTAAAGAAGCCCTCTGTAGCAACTGTTCCCTCCCCTGTTCCATCCTCCAGCTCTTCTCTATCTCCAGCTGCTCCATCCGTTTACAAACCTGCGCTTACTTACGGTGCTCCAGTAGTTAAAACCAGAAAAAAGCGAAAATTCTTTCCAACCAGTACCATCCTGCCAGTATCCAAACCGGTGAGCCTGCCGTCTGAGAACCTGCCTTCCGTGGTTCAGCCTGGTGCCTCGGCACCCGCACTTCAGCCTGATGTCTGTACCCAGCCTGATGAACTGATCCAGCCTGATGATCCTATCACGCCTGATGACCCAGTGCCCGCTGTCGAGCCAGACGATCCAATGCCTGATGACCCAGTGCCCGCGGTCATACCTGGTGACCCGATGCCCGCTGTCGAGCCAGACGATCCAATGCCTGATGACCCAGTGCCCGCCGTCATGCCTGGTGACCTGATGCCCGCTGTCGAGCCAGACGATCCAATGTCTGACCCAGTGCCCACTGTCGTGCCTGGTGACTCGGTGCCCACTGCCTTGCCAGATGACCTGATGCCTGGTGACCCAGTGCCCGCTGTCATACCTGGTGACCTGATGCCCGCTGTCGAGCCAGACAATCCCATGCCTGATGACCCAGTGCCCGCTGTCATGCCTGGTGACCCGATGCCCGCTGTCGGGCCAGACGATCCAATGTCTGACCCAGTGCCCGTGGTCATGCCAGTTGACTCGGAGCCCACTGTCGTGCCTGGTGACTAGGTGCCCACTGCCTTGCCAGATGACGTGGAGCCCGCTGGTGAGTCAAATGACCTAATGCCTGGTGAACCAGTGCCCGCTGTCATGCCTGGTGGCCCGGTGCCTGTCGCCCCGCCTGGGGGCCCGGTGCCTGTCGCCCCCGCCTGGTGGCCCGGTGCCTGTCGCCCCGCCTGGTGGCCCGGTGCCTGCTGCTCCGCCTGGTGATCCGGTGTCCAGCTCGATGTGCCTCTGCCCGGAGTCCAGCCCGATGTGCCTCTGCCCGGAGTCCAGCCCGATGTGCCTCTGCCCGGAGTCCAGCCCGATGTGCCTCTGCCCGGAGTCCAGCCCAATGTGCCTCTGCCCGGAGTCCAGCCCGATGTGCCGCTGCCCGGAGTCCTGCCCGCTGTGCCGCTGCCCGGAGTCCTGCCCGCTGTGCCGCTGCCCGGAGTCCAGCCCGATGTGCCAGTCTTTGATATCCCGCCAGTTACCAGACCCGGGCGGTGGAACATTTTGCCCAGCTAGGACTGTTTGGAGCGTCCTGAGGCCGCTCCTTGAGGGGGGGGTACTGTCAGGAATGGACTTGCCAGTAATGGTGGGACTCACCTGCCTTGTGGGCTGCAGTACCAGGGCTGGCCAGCGGGTGCTCCCAGCAATTAGAGACTCAACCCTGCAGCCAGCCAAACACCTGAAACGGCTTATGCAGGTGTATTTAAGTGATGGCCAGACCTGCAGTCTTTGCCTTGGTGTGTGTGTTTTTCCTTGGGCCCTGTATCTTGTAAACCTGCGTTCCTGTTCCTGTTCCTGTCCCTGTCCCTGTCCCTGTCTTGTTGCTGACCCTGCTTGATCCTGACCTCTGCTGACTTCTCCTGTTCTGATCCCTGGCTTGTGACCCTGACCATTCTCTCCGCCTGCTCCTCCTGTACCTACCTGCCCGATAGTTATCAACCCGGCCTGCCTGATCACGTTGTGCTCTATATGTGTATGTACCTGTGTATCTGTATCAGTTTAGGTTTGGGTTTGTTTCACCTTGTATGTATTTGTGTTAGCTTGGGGTTTGGTGCACTGCGTTTATGTTTGTATTGTTAGTCTTTAATAAATTATATTGTTTATAACATATCTGAAGTCTGCGTTTTCCTGCGTCAGTCACATACCTCTGGTCATACCCAGGAGCCCTGACACCCTTATGGAACAAAGACGACACCAAGTCCAAAACTATATTGCCACTGCTCCCCATGTAGTCTGGGCAATCGGGGTGCACTACTTCGCTGTTTCTTCCCTCATAAACCCTAAATATGTATGTATAGCCTGTGGCCCTCTCACAGAGCTCATGCAATTTGACTCCATATCTGGCACGCTTGCTGGGAATGTACTGTTTGAATGCAAGGCGGCCAGTGAATGAGGGACTCATCAACGCAGATGGTGGTTTATGAGGTGTCGAATTTTGTAGAGCCTGTCATGTTCAGGGTCACCCTGAGGACTACAGAGTGTGTTATCACTGAAATGCATGGAGCGCATTATCTTCTTATATTTATGCCTGGTCATGGCAACAGAGAACACGGGCATATGATGAATTGGGTCTGTGGACCAATACGACCGCAACTCATTCGTTTTTGTAATGCCCATGTTGAGGGTTAGGACCAAAAAAGTTTTACATTCAGAAACTGTAATAGGTTATCATGCAAATGGTCTGGCAAGGTTTGAATTTGGGTTTACGGCGATATATTGTAGAGCATATAAATTGCTTTGGCTCATAATCAAATTGTACAAATCTTCTGTAAAAAACAGCTCCAAAAAATCAAGGGGCGTATTTAAATTTGCTGTTTCCTTCTGAATTCTGGGTTAGGCAGAGAATGGGGGAAGTACGGGTGTTGCAGAATCTGTGGGCTGCCAATCAGGATTTGCAAGCACATCCTGAAGGACACTAGGGGCTCTACGGGCCTGTGTGCGAATTCTTGGTGGCTGCAGGACACTACTTGTATTCGCCACCGCACCAGGTTGTACTGCACTTATGGGACTCGCCATGTCACCAAGTGATACTGCAGTGCTGGTATAAAAAAGACCAGGATGTACTAGACCGCTGGTTCTCACCAGTTCACCAAAAGGTAGTGCGGCACTAGTACTGGCACTCTGCTGCATATGAGACAAGTCATGCGATCCTAGCACTTCAGCTTCATGGGGTCGGGTACACCTGATCTTAACTGGGACCTCTTCTCCATCTTCCTAGCTACCTGTCAGGGTGTCACTGCTGTCTACAGGTTTGTATTCTGAGGCTGATTGTGTCAGGGAGTCTTCCCCTTTGCTCTCACCTGACATGCTCAGAATCCTGTAGGCCTCTTCACTAGTGTACCTTTGGTTGAACATTAAATTTACAGGTACCTAGAGCAACTCATGGGAAAAAGAGCACCTGGCTGTCAGGAACTGCTTGAACCGCTACAAAAAAATTACCAGCAAGTGCTAACAGAGATCAGGCCTGATTCTGTGAACACTGCGGTTTTGTGTGTAATGTATTACAGGTGACAGTAAATCAGAAATTATACTGACACTGCACTTCTTGTTAGGGGTGGGGGGGGAGCGGAGGGGCTAAACGCTAGTGCAGGCAGTGAACAAGGATGATCCTGCTAACACTGCATTTTTGGAGACACTAATACTAAGGGGCACTGGTATAGTTTTGTTTGTGATAAATATATTGATCTGTACAAACACTATACTAGTAACGACAGTGATCAGCAATCTATAGCGTGAGTGCAATAGTGTGTGAGCAATCTAACGCTGGCTGACCCTAGCTGGGAGGGACGCTAACTGACCCTGACACTATGGCCCTGATTTACTATTGTGCCTGGGCGCATATCCGTGGGCGAACGTCTAATTTTTACGAGCGACCGTCTACTTTTACCCCGCTAAGAGATTTACTATTGAGCAGCGTCCATAAGTAGACGCCCAATAGAATTTACTAACGAGACACACACCAGGAATCAGACTCACAAAGCAGACTTGGTAAGAGGTATGTCTAACACCATGAAAAATCACTGCAGAGACATGTTCACTTTGAAATTTGCTTTGCCAAATATCAGGACTTCACTTTAAACAATATCTGCCATTTCCAAAAAAAATTTAAATGTGTTAAAAAGTGTTTTTATTAAGCAAATCGACACAGTGAAAAACTAGACACTCGTGCAGCTTATTTGGCTGATACAAATGCGCATGTGCAGAACACATTTTAGACGTCCTCTGTGGACGCTTGCTTTTTAGCCGCTGCTCAATAGTAAATCTCAGTGTGGATTCCTCTGACAGCCGGCACTCGGTCGCGTCTACTGTGTTTAACAAACAGCACTAGGCATATCTTTATGTATTCTAATTTGATTTCCTTAGTTCTGGTGATTCTATTTTTGTTTCTTATCCTTTATAATTATTTCTGTAATGATTTTACTTATTTTGAAGGTCTAGATAATATTTATTTTGACAGCTGAATGTAAAAATAAAGGTCCGCAATAAAAAAAAATTAAAAAAACAGAGTGGGTCCCCCCTTTCATCCATACCAAGCCCTTCAGGTCTGGTATGGATATTAAGGGGGAACTCCACGCCGAAATTTAAAAAAAACCTGGCCGGTGGTTGTGGGGTTCTGCGGGCGGGGGGCTTATCAGAATCTGGAAGCCCCCTTTAACAAGGGAACCCCCAGATCCGGGGCCCCCCCCCATGTGAGTGAGTCTGCTGTACATGGTCCCGCTACTAATTCACAAAAAAACAAAAAAAAAAAGTTCTGCTCCCGTCGGAGGCTTCCAGCCTTCTGGAAAAAAGTCTCGCTGACAGTTCTTAAATAGATTAGGGGCGGGGCCAGCCGGGGACATCATCCGAGTGACCCCGCCCCATGTCACATGCTTGCTATCCTTGACTGGCCCCGCCCCTTACCTATATAAGAACTGTCAGACTGTCTCCTGCATACAGCTAGTTAGCCTCAGTGGAGAGACAGGGTGACAGTTCTTAAATAGGTAAGGGGCAGTGCCAGCCGGGGACATCATCCGAGAAACCCCGCCCCATGTGACATCAATGATGTTACATGGGGCGGGGTTTCTCGGATGATGTCCCCGGCTGGCCTCGCCCCAAACCTATTTAAGAGCTGTCAGCGAGACTTTTTTTCAGAAGGCTGGAAGCCTCCGACGGGACCAGAACTTTTTTTTTCTTTTTCCGGTTCGCCGCCGCCGTGATTGACGTTGGATCTACTTCGGGGGACATTGTTTTAATAAAAGACTTTGCAAAGACCCTGTACTGTGTTTTTTTCACACTACACTTTGTTTTTTTGTGAATGAGTAGCGGGACCATGTACCGCATACTCATTCACGTAGGGGGGGGCCGGGATCTGGGGGCCCCATTGTTAAAGGGGGCTTCCAGATTCTGATAAGCCCCCCGCCCGCAGACCCCCACAACCACCGGCCAGGGTTGTGGGGAAGAGGCCCTTGTCCCCATCAACATGGGGACAAGGTGCTTTGAGGGGGAGCCCCCTGCCCCAAAGCACCCCCCCATGTTGAGGGCATGTAGCCTGGTATGGTTCAGGAGGGGGGGGGGCGCTCGCTTGTCCCCCCCCCTTTCCTGACCTGCTGGGCTGCATGCTCGGATAAGGGTCTGGTATGGATATTGGGGGGTCTCCACGCTGTTTTTTTTTTAATTTTCGGCGTGGAGTTACCCCTTAACATCCATACCAGACCGGAAGGGCTTGGTATGAATGGGAGGGGGACCCCATGCTGTTTTTTTTTTATTATGTATTTAATTTGCGGAAATAATTCAAAATTCAGCTGTCAGTGGGAAACCCCGATGACAGCTGAAACATTCCTTCTGTCCCTGCAGAGAGCTCCGTTATTATATTTGACATTAAAAAGTATAGAGACTGCAACATTGTATCTATTTGTATCCATTTCGGATATTGAAGTTTTTATTCGGATACATATAGATACAATGTTGCAACCTATATACTTTTTAATGATAAATATAATAGCGCAGCTCTCTGCAGGGACAGAAGTAATTACATCGCTATTATATTTGCCGGCCGTAGACGGGGCGAAAATTGGACAATTTTTTTTACCGTTGGTGGTAACGTCGGTCCATTGAACAACTGACTTGTCTGTTTTTTTTTTTTTTTTTTTAAAAACGGCCAGTTTTCGCCCCATCTATGGCCTGCATTTTTCTTTTTCTTATTCTTTTTTTTTATTCTTCTTTTTCATTTTCTTATTCTTTTTTTTCTT